CTTTTCATTTTTATTGATGAATCCAGAAGCATTGATTAATACAAGAGTAACTTTTTATTAATGTTGATGCATTTCAGATTGAAATTAAAACTTATGTCATTATGTGCGTCTCAAATGTGTCGCATCATTAATAACGCAAACACGTGTCACATCTTCAAGCAACATGTTGCTTGGTCTTAATACATGTTTTCATGATTTATTTCAATTTTTGGCAATTTAATCAATATATTGACTTAGTTAGGTTTGAATAGCATGTTACATTTAGATTATTAAATCAACGATTTCAAAAGTACTCGAAAAAGAAATAAAACATTAAAATTTAGATGAGAAGAACTGGAAAAGTTTCAATGAAAACAAAAGTCATGCGACAGAAATTATTTACGGTTTGTGCAAGTCAAAAATGTTTCAAACTTTAAAGAATCAATTGATGAAGAAATTAATTTAAATTACTCACGTTTTGTAGTTGGCAGCTTCTCCATTACTATCATTTTCGATGTCTTCTTTCGATGCAGTTAAAGAATTTTTAGGACTTCCATTTGATCCTTGTGAACCTTGAGAACTTTTCCTTGATGGCCCATCAAGCCCAGGTGACAATGAGTCAGATGTTCCACCCGAGTTTGGCCCGGACAGTGATCGATTGAAGAACTTTAAGCTAGGTGACTGTGGGGTTCCTTCACGTGAATCTTTTTCACTCGACTCCAAGCTTGATATTATTGGCTGCATGAGATTACTCGGAATCTCATTTTCAGGCGTCTGTGGCAATGTCGGCAATTCTTGGTCTAACACATAAATCACATCTGTCGCAATATCTGTCACGTAATGAAGATTCTCTTGTGCTCGATCAACACGGAAACAACGTTCAGCTGTACAGGCTGTGAATAATGAAAATGAAACTAATTTCCCAAAATGATGCAAACCATAAAAACTAACAGTCAATGAAGCACCAGTCTGGTGATAACTTAGGACTTTCAACACTTTCATCACATAATTTATTAATAAGCATACGAATTGCTTCAAGATCTAATGTTGGGTTGACTTCAATCGTTCCCATTGGTTCAGCACTTTGCTTCATTATTTCTTTGTCGTAGTGATGTTGTTCATAATCCGACATTTTGATTCGACTTATGCCAATATTCATCGGTTCGAGAGTCGTTTGTCTGTTGACATTTAATTTAATGATTAAATCTTTTTCAATTCTCTTCAAATGAACATCAAAATAACTTACGGAACATTCGTTCGTCCTGGTGTCTTCTTTGCTAACATCACAGCTTTATTAAGCAGAGACATTTCGATTATTGAAGGTTTCACTTTACAAGCTTCACCATCAACCTGCATTGGAATTGTTTTCGATGTGATAATTTTTGCTGAACGACATTGAGCGATGCAAGTGCCATGGCCACCAGCTTGTAACAATGGAAGTTGATATGTCGTTAAGCCAACGACTTCGATTAATCCATCATCAGTTGCTGGTTCATATTGTCCACCTGACTTATTCCACGGATGTGTACCGCCACCATAACTTGGAATGTTAAGAAACACGATCGCATGTACACGAAGCTCTTTTAGCTTTGGCGTTATGTCTTTTCCATCACATTCAAGTGTCACCAGCTCAGCAAGATTCTTCCATTTCCGCTTCAGTAAATCTTTTCCACCCATTTGTCCATAAAACATTTTATTTCTCAAGCGTGAATTGAACTTTTCTGGATGGGCCTCTGTCAACGTTCCGCGTCATGTCGTATGCAAAATAATAAATTAATTTTTTGTTCCATTTTTTATAACGTCAGTTAACGATGGCGTGTAAATGGCACAACCATGGTGCACAACGGTGTAAAAGGAAATTAAAGGGAATGAGAAAGAGAGAAAAATCGAAAAACATTGTTAGTAAATGAGTTTTGATGATGGTGAGAAAGATTATCAAGATAATTGAATTTTCTACAAAGTTCATCACGCAATTCAATCGCTTTTAAAACTTACCTCGAGCTTCATGGAATTCAAGCGCAATGTGAGCGTCTACACCAAGTGAAAAGTAGTTGTTAACGACACTAAGTGGTAGAGAATCTTTTCCATCACATGAATCGGAAGCGTCGGGGTTGGGAACAACATTTAGATTCCATCGATCTAAAAGCACGGTGTCTGAGTTTCCAATATTTGAAAGTATTTTCCCGATTGGCTCATCAGTGTAACCCTTTTTGAATGACAAATGAATGAATAATGAGTTCAGCAATCATTTCATTTTCCAGGGATAATGATTGAAACAAAAATCAATTTTATTGTATGCACACGAACAATCAATCAGTTTATGTTTTGAGAGACTGAATAGAAATATTTTAAAAGCTAAGTGAAGCTTCTTTTTTCATAAAATCCATCCACTCAATGGTCGTACAACATAAAAAGGAATCAAACATTCAAATTCATCAAAAAAAGAAAAGTCAATGACAAAAGGGAATATTTAAGGGAATGTTTGCCATTCGTCATGTTCACTTCAATGAACTCGAAGGATAAGAAAAAAAAAGTTTGATTGAATATCGCTTGATCCGCATCCTTAAGACCCAAAGAAAAGGAAATTCTCAACTTAAGATGATTTCTCGAAGAATTTTCATAATTCCCACTGCAGGAAATATTGCGGAATTGAAAAGTGTGTTGAAGCAAAATCGCATCGACGACGAATTGGTTCCGGAGATAAACTTCCACATCTACACCGAACAATTCAGAGATTTTTATTCAATTTCTTTTTCGCTTTCAACTTCTCTTATCACACCGATTTGTTTCCTTTCACATGAGCAGCAGCTCTTCATTCAATTTTCGTCGGAGAAAAAAAGCGAAATGAAGAGAAGATTTGTCTGAATGAAGTTAAAGGAATTGAAATTGGATCGAAACAATCGGAAATTAAATGAGATAAAGAAGAGTGGAAGAATATAAAAAATACCTTGAAGGGAGATGATGCTGATTTACTTTATACATTTAACTCTCTTGAGCATCGATGAACAACAATAAGAAATCAAATCTAATCATATTTTCATTCTCGAATTGTTTTCTTTCGATATTTTCTTTTTCTTCTGTTTTATTCGAATTCAATTTATTGAGTGGGAGGATATAAAAAAAATAAAGATTGTATCTTGATGACATCAACAGCAAACTTTTTTTTTGTTTTCTTCAAAGACACTCAAAGAAAGCACCAGCATCAATTTCCGGCCGACATCAGCAGAAATCAAAATTATTTTTCTTTTGTATTTTGATTTCTGCTTGTTACGCAATCATCTTTATGGTCAGAACAATTTCATAACGCTAAAACTTTATTGTTGATTATAAATAATAAAAAGCTCGTAACTTTATCATTCCATTCAATTAAAAACAGAAAAAAATCTTTTTTCTCTTCATGATCGTCAAAAAATCAAATCAAATCACATAATTCAATTGACATTTCGATAACTTACCCCACCCCAACCAAGCGCTCTCGCTAAATCATTTCCCGTACCAAGCGGTAAAACTCCAACAGCTGGAGGCGGTGACAATCCTATTTGATCGAGAACAGACAAGACCCAACCAACCGTTCCATCACCGCCACATGCTAACACACGCAAATTTGGCACTTTACGAAATAACTCCAGGCTGCCATTTTGAAAGAAAAAAAAAATAAAAAGCAGAGAGAAAACATTTTTAAGTGTGAATGATTTTTCATGCGTATTTTGGCATTAATAAATATAAATGGTCGACTTACCCCATTTTTGGTCCCCCTTGTGTCAAGTCAAACACCTGACGTGGATTTAAAAGCCATTGAAATTTTTGGAGAAGTTTCGCACCTTGATTGCCGCCACTTTTGGGATTAATGAATACTAGAACTGGTGACACACTCGGTGTGGGAATCGGTTTTATCACAAACGTCTTTAATTCCTTCTCTTTGGTCTTCTTCTTTCCAGCGGGTTTCTTTCTTGGTGTTTTCCTTAATGATGATTTAAAACTACCTTTGCGTGGCAGTTTGACGATCCACGACGGTGGAACAATAATACGCGAGTGAACGCCTGTTGGACGCAGACACGACGGGAGAAGAATAGAAAAAAAGAAAGCACGCGACACAGGCGGAAGAAGAAAAGTTTCAATTAAGATTTCCATTAAGATAAATGCGGAAAATAAAATTAAAAATAAAACAAAACAAAAAAGTGAAGCGCGTGAGCTTTCATTGTTATCATTGTAACATCAGTGACAACAAAGTGATAAGTAAAGTTCGAAAGTCACGGCATCACAACAGAAAAAACGACAACGGCTGTCGTTAATGACAACGACCTTACCTAACGAGCATTCTTCGCCGATTCGTTGAGGGTTGAAACAAGCCTCCTTATTATGATATGACGATTTACACCAGGCACAAGATAAAGCAACAATCTCTTTTGAACTAAATGATAATTTCGCTTGTAATGACTGTTGAGAAGATGAAACGAAAAGAAAAAACAAAAATATTGTAAAAAGGAAAAAGAAAGAAAATTAATTTTCAATTGTCAAACGAAAATCTTTCTCTTGATAGATGAAGGAGAAAACTTTATTTATTGTGCATAATAAAGAACAGTCAGTCTCAATTGGACCGAGAAACCGAGAAAAATGTTAGAAAGAGACAGAAAGTAATAGAGAGAAAGAGAGAAAAGATCAAGAAAATTTTAAGGAAACTTTTCTATGTATGCAAAACTAGTTTTCAACTACTTAAGTATCTTAAAGATATTTCTTTGGGTTTTATTATCTATAAGTGACGTCGAATTCAATTTGAAAATACTTAAAAACTTTCCGAAACAATAAATAGGTGAGGTTTCAGAAGCATTAAACTTTAGATTCAATTGAAAAACTTTGAAAGGAAGAAATAAATAAAATTGGAATTTCTTTGTCCTTTTTACGACGTCATTTAAGAAAACAAACTAAAGATTTGTTATGAGAGAATCTGAGAATATCTTGACCGAAAAAACTTTTCTTTTCTCAGTGAACTTCTTCAAATAACCGAGTAAATATTGCTGAAATAGCTATCAACTTCAAATTAAAATTAATTTCATTAAATTCTATTGTTGAAGTTGGAGAAAAGTGCTGTTGGGTATTTTCAAATTTTCTCATTGTTTTCTATCAAGTTTCGCAAAGTAAAATTTATTATTTAAACTATTCCTATTTCAATCCAGTTTCAGAACAAAAGAATTCTTCGTGGGTGTGAAGAAGAACTTCAAGCTTGAAAAACCAAAGTGTTAATAATATTTATAAATCAGCAAATTGTCATGCCATAATCAATAATGAAAAAAAGCTGAGAAAGCTTCAAGTTTAAAGATTGTTTTTGTATAAAACTCGTAATCAACAAAATTAAGAAGTGAACTGATATTGAACGTGTTGTAATTAAGGAAAAAATTATTTAATGCCGCTCAAAAATGCCAACAACATTGTTAGAACTCAACTCAAATAAATTTTGCTGTTTAGATATTTACTTTTATAAGATTTATGATTGCGAAATGAATTTGTTTTTCTTTTTGTTAAAAGCGCTATATGTGTGCTTATGTATACCTACTACAAATACTTAATAAGAAATTAAATAAAAAGAATTTTTAATGCTACGCTCGTGGAGTCAGAAAAAGGAAGAAGAAATGAAAATTATTTGGAAATGAGATAAACAGACGAAAGCTCTCACTTCGCAGTGTTTCCTTTTTAAAAATTAACTTTACCTTAAGATACGAAAGCTTTTTTTCCGACTGCGCAATCAATCACGTGAGAACAGGTTTTATGAAAATATTTAATATTTTGAGGAATTACAAGAAAAATGGGAAAGAGAGAAAGAAAGAAGAAAACAAAATGAAACATGAATTCCATGAAAATTGTTTTGAGTTTTCTTCTTGAAAAGATTTTTAATTCTAGTTTTGTAATTTTCAATTTAAATTTTGTGTATAGTGGGATTAATTCTTGTGAATAAATATTTTTAAATGAATTGAATTCATCATCAGAATTTTATTTTTTCAAGAACACTCTCGCGAGTAGTTGTGCTATTTTGAGAAAATCCAATTAGGAACCAATTAGTCATTTCTTTTCTTACATAAAATATCAAATAAAGATGAAAATTTATTTCGAGTTTGAAGGAAGGAGGGAAAGTTTTAATTCCGTTTGCTATAAAGAAAGAAAATTAATTTATTTTCATGAAAAAACTTTTCTTTGGTTTTAATGAAAGGAGTTTTGTTTTCCCTCAATTCATTTTCTCGATAAATATTTCTCATGCAAATTAATTCTAGAAAACAATTTGATAAAAATTGATTCTTGAGTTGTGGTTAAGCGATATTTAAATTGCGTTAATTTCGTTTTATTAAAATCACCAACTCGTTTCGCTAAAAAAGTTCATAAACTTTTATAATGAAATCCACAAATTCTGAGTATTTTTTTATAATTGACGCACGTTTCGATTTCTTGCATAATTCAAACGATTTCTTTAAAACATTTTAAAAGTATGTGTAAAGTTTCCCTCTTCCTCCCACTCTTTCTATTCTTTTTCCTCCACAATAAAATGCCAACAGTTACATGTTTGACTTCCTCATTACCCTCGCTAGTACTTCATTATGGGGATTTATGTTTGACGAATTAATTAAAGGAAAAACACAAAAAAATAGAAATAATTTTACACTCGAACTAACCTTTCCACATTGTTTACATTTTCCTTTTTCCGTCCGCCGATGGATCCAGTGATGAAGTGTTCGCGTTTGCTCACGATATTGACGAACACCAACATCTCTAAATGTTGGTTTGCACGCTAATTGCGAGCGTTCCATGAGCATAGCTATACAGCTAGCGTGAGCGATGATTTTGCATGCAGAGCATTTCATCCGTGGCCCGTGTTTCTGCTTATGATTGAGAAATTAATAAAGAGGGAGAGAAAAAAGAAAACTTGATTAAATGAAAAACATTTCTGTGATCTTAACTTGTAACTTGATTGTACAACGAAGCTAGAAAAGGTAGGTAATTGGAATAACGATCATCGATTTCAAGACGCTCTCCTCTGTAAAGTTTAACGCGATGAAGCAATAAAGCTCGATGGCACCGGAAAATCGATAAAAGAAAAATTTTATCGTGCTTTTTATATGAGTGGTGACGTGGGAGAAGAGAAAACGGAATATTTCTTCAAGCGTTGTTCATGACAGAGAATAACTTAATGGGAAAATCAGATTTGCAAACCAATTTCTTGAGAACATCATTTTGTCTCTTCTGCCACTGACAATCCCTAAAGGCTTGAACATAGTTGAGAAACTTTTTCAATTGCTTCGATAAATAAAATGAAGAGATGAAGTTTAAGACGAAAGGAAGGAAGTGAAAGCTTGAAGCATCCCAGGAAAATTCACTTTCAAAAGCTTTCTATGCTAATTTAATTTAATTTCATTTGTGTTGTGAAAAGTGCAAATGAACGTGAACTTACTGACACGTTATGGTAAAGTGTCATGAGTAGACAAAGAAAAGGTTAAGGAACTTACAGTACAATCGTTGTCTCCGACATAACAACAATCGCCGGAAACCGATGTCGACACCCACAAGTGATCTCCTGATACTGCATTGTCCGACCAGTCGGGTGTGTTTCTTATCTGCCGTGAACCTGAATGGTCGCCGGGTTTTCTATTTATACATTGCAATGAGATTAGAAATAAAACTTAATTAGATCATTTCTCAAATCTATTTTGGTTCGTCATTCATCATGATGCGTTCTAATGTTTGGTTCTATTTTCAGCTGATATATTTTTAAATTCAAACCTGTATCGAAATCGAACACTTTTTCGTCTCATTGCTTTCAACTTTCCATCCAATGGATGGCAATAGCAATTAAAGCACATCGTATGTGTCGTGACACCAACAACAACAGTCTTTGAAAGTTTTCTTCTCGGTTTCATTCTAAATCTGCTTTTTTCTCACACAAAACTTTCTTTTTTCCCTCCTTTTTAATTAATTGGTTTTTCTTTCTTTCGTTCCGTTTACCGAAACTTTTTGTATCGATTATACATAATAAACATGGAATATTATTTTCTGTTTACACTGTGTGTGGTGTTAACCGAGTTGTTAACAAAAGTTATTTTACATTAAATTTCATGATTATGTTGTTTGTTCTGTATGTTTTTGCGTGTGTGTTTGAATGTTCAAAATGTATTCAAAATAATGCAATTTACGAGCGACAAAACATGTCAACAACCCCCGAAATGCTGAAGTTTGTGAAAAGTTTCTCTCTTTTTTGTTTTGTTTTTCTATAGCATTTCGTTGTTTACATTCTCATTAAATTCATTCGTCGTGCTACGAGCAAGTGCCTTGTGTTGTTGATAATGTTGAATGAAGTATCAGCCAGCCTTATGTCGTATGCTGAACTGTTGAAGGATGAAAATATAAAAATATATACAACGTACGAAAAGATCCCTACGTGACATTATTAAAGCTATGATATGTTGTCATAAGAACGTGACGTTGTTCTTAATTAAATATTTTTCAGTTTATAATTTTTTCATATCATCCATAATCCTATTGAAGAAGTTTTCAGAACATGCAGCAACAGTTAGATTTCATTACTTTCATAACTTTTATTTTGATTAAAAGCCTTTTTAAACTTTCTTATTGCCTCTCAAGATCTCGAGATGTGAAGGAGGAAAGCCAAGATTAAAGCCCCATTTAAAACCATTTTTGTTGTAGAAAATCTTCAACCAGATATTACAATTTTCTTTGGTTTCCTAAGCCGAACATAAATATTTGTCGCTTCTAAGAAAGTACAATAATCTTTCTTTTCTAGGCTTCTTTTAAAATGATTGATGATGTAAATATGTAAAGAAGCTTTTACATGAGAACGCTTTTAGTCATGTTGAAATTTATTTTAATTGACATGTAAAAAATTTAACAGTTAAGTTAGCAAGTAGACGAATTAAATATTGTGGGTGGGTGGGAGGTAAATAAAGTTAAGTGAGAGTCTAACGAGATTATAATTAGAAGCAATAACATGGGAAATTCGTTTGAATCGAGATAGTAATGAAATATTAATCTTTTCTGACAATGCTGATAAGGAAAATGAGCTTTTATAAGTGCGACTGTGAGTTGTGTGATTATTTGTTTTGATGTAAGTGTTTGTGATGGTGAAAATTTGTGTCACTATGATTTGAGAGCTTCAATTCCAAACTTGTTATTTCTTCATCTTTTCTATTATCAAAACTTTTCCGAACAATTTTATTATTTTTTCATTTATTGTTTACAAGATACAAGAAGCATAAGTGACACTTTCCACTTTTCCATCATTCAGAGAAGTTTGGAAATTGACATTCTTTCTAATAACATTTCACTTTTTTTTGTTTGTGAATGAGGAACAGATGGATGAAAATTGTATTCGATATCATGTTTGTCTTCTGTTTTGTTTTAATTTACAATTCTTTTGTTTTTTCATTTTACTTTGTTTTTCCTGTTCTGTTCAATCGCTTTTGTCCTCATTTCCACAATGTATTCACATTAAATATGGATATGACTTAGTTCCTTTATGTTGCTAAAGTAATCATGTCAAAATGAATTCTTCTCGAATTTTCTTTAATCCAAAGAGAAGGAACATATTTCACAAAGTTGCACTGAAGTTTCTTTCTTTCTTTTTCAATGCTCGAACGTGTTGCTTTGCTTTGCTTCAATGAGAATGATATTTATTGTCATTGTTGTGCAGCTCGTTATTTCTTTCCATTACAATTTCTTTTCAAAACATAATCAGAGAGATTATTTCACTAGGAAGAACTCAATTTTGTGCTCGAAGCACACTGTCGTCGTACAGATATAAAAAGTTAACTGCTCGTACTATACCTAATGCAATATATTCAGACTTTTTATCATCATTTTTCTTCTCAGAGAGCGTGGGATGATGATAAAGTTACAGTCAGTGTTATACACATTCATAACTAGGTAGAGTAGTAAAATTTATACATTTATACTTATGTAGGTAAGCAAAAGTTCACTTCCTAACCATTTTATTCCCTTAGAGCTTTTCAAGCCACACAACATAAATAAATAATGATAATAATAGTAAAACTCTACTTTTACACGAAATATCTAAATGAAAAAATTGTAAGCGTCATCGAGAGGCGGTTTTTTGTTTGACTCAATTCAATCGCGAGTACTCGTTGCTAAAAATAGAAAATTGTTTGGAATAAATTTGTTATTTTCCCCCAAAATAAAAACCCATTAATATTCGCTTCGATTTTTTTTTGTTTATATTTGAAGTTCGCCTCGCGGTGAAGCATCAGCGTCATTCATGTTTAATGTTTGTGTGTTGATGTGGAGTGAAGAATAAACGCAAGAGAAGACTTAAAATGCCTTCGTTAATATTTTAAACAAAACTTTTTCTTTCTTTCTTCTCTTTTTTGTATTACTCATTAATACGAATAAGAATTAGAAGTCATACATAGCATGAGAAACTTTCGTATCTGATGGCGGAAAAAGGGTTAAGTATGGTTGGGGAAGTTATGAAGCCATGACGATATAATTTTCAGTTTACATTTCATTAATTCTCATGAGTAAAAACGCGCTTTTTACGTGACTTATTTCAAACATTATTTGTCGCTGAAATGAAACGAATGAGGGTACAAAAAAGGAACATTCTATTATCACCGAAACACATTAACCATCCTTACTTTTGGCTCAATTTACATTTCTGTTTCCATCATGAGTCTCATCTCATTTTCCCTTTGATGCTGAATCATTTAAGAAGAAACAAAAACTTTTGTTGAAGGTGACGTACCCACTTTGAGAGTATATTAGCTAATTAATGTATGAAGAACAAGATGAAATATATAATTAAGTGTTTCTTTCCTTCTCCTAAATTAACACATGATTACATTTCNATCATTTAAGAAGAAACAAAAACTTTTGTTGAAGGTGACGTACCCACTTTGAGAGTATATTAGCTAATTAATGTATGAAGAACAAGAAGAAATGTAATCATGTGTTAATTTAGGAGAAGGAAAGAAACACTTAATTATATATTTCATCTCGTGGTATATAAAAAACTTTGTTAAAGACTTAAGAATGAAATTAACAACGAAATGTTTTTTGTACTAATTTCTATTGTCGTTTTACTTCCACCCACATAACTTGATTTCTTTAATCATCTAATGGATTAATTACGTTCACAAATTTTTATGAGCATTGAAAATTATTGGCCCGTAAAAATGTTAAACGAGAAAAAAGGTCAGGAGAGCTACGATTGAAAAAAATCAGATTTATTTGACATCATTAAATGCTGGAGAACATCGAAAATTTAATTAGCTTATAATGCTTATGTAAGATTAAGTAACATTCTCTTTAAAGTTTCATAATAATCGTGTAAACGCTTCTGGCTTTTATCGTTGTTTATCTTTTCTTAAAGTTACCTTCAAAATAACCAAAACATTAATTTCCTCCTTCTTTCTAAATACTCAAGTTTATGTCAAGAACATTGCCGAAAATCGAAACTTAATATAATCGTAATATTTCTTTATTCACTCTCATTTTAAAGATTTATGACGAGCTCAGATCAAAAGGTTAATAAATCCACATTTCAGATACATTAAACATATTTTATGAACATGCTTTTGCTATCGGATCAAAATTCGTGTAAACAATCATTTCGTGTTCGTTTATTAACAATAAAGAGAAGACGGCTGCGGATAAAAAAGAAGAAGAAAATAATAATGTTATCGTATCTTGTTCTTGTAAATATAATAAACAAAAGCCTTCATAATACAAGAGCATAGAACAGTCAACTTAATGATCTTTCATGTCATGATATAAAAGGAAGATTATTTTTCATGTCTGACCATCAAACGCATACTTTTATGATGTTAGAGACGCATTATTACAAGGATTTAACATAAAATATTTGTTTCCCTTTTTCTCTCTCTCACTCTCAGAAGGATATTTATGTCAAATGAACTGATGAACTTCAACATTCAACCCAAATCGTTTCTTTTATTTGACTTATGTTGACGAAATCCTCAGATTAAAAACAATCGAAATTCGAAGAAAAAGCTCAAACTTTCCCCTTTTTTCATTTTTCTTGCTTAACGAAGAGAACGAAGGAAAATGTTTGCCATGAAATTTTTATCAATATCATCATGGCCAATTAGATTCTATTTCGATTTTGTTTTCGATGTGAAAACATAAGACGGCAAACGAGCACAATATTTACACATTAAGTGCATTAAGTTGTCGTTATCGTTGTCACGCACATGTTGAAACAAATGAAGTGAGCATCGTATCAAGATGATTTATTTATTAACGTGAATAGTCTTACCCTTTATGATATAAATTGCTAGCTGGTCCATGCGCTAATGCAAGAGCTTTATAGCGTGCTTGTTGTTCAGTTGGAAGAACAATGTCGACACTGCGCGAACGCACCGCTCCACTACTTGGTACGGTTAATAAATTTAAATCACCATCAGGTGGTGGTTGTACTTCTTCCGTTTTAGCTGCTGATGAGACTTTTGTGAAGCATGAATCGACCGATGCGGCACGGTCCCGCTTCAAGTCAGGCACAGTTAGGAAAATATCACGAACAAAAGGATCATTCGACTTTGCTTGCTTTTCTATCTTCTCTTTATCATCGTCCGTTGCTTCATCTTTTTGTTCTGTATCGGAAGTAATTGAGACATTCTCGAGAGATGTGCCCGTGGGCTCAACAAAAATTGCTTCCTGTCGCGATATTGAGCGTCGTCTTGCACGCGGCCCAGGCACCTCAATCTCATCGAGATCATTTGAAAGTTCTATAGTGGGTGATGTTGGATAAATGGGAGGTGATGAAGGCAATACTGGTGGCGAGCCCGGCACAATGCCTGGCAGGGGAAAGGCTGGATAATCACAAATCGTTGGCGAGAGAGTAAACGTTATGCTACATGGTGAGGGAAGAAGAAGCGTTGTCTGCTTTTGGAAATAATAATCTACATCTTCCTCATCTTTCGCTTCTTCTTTTTCTTCTTGCTCATCGTCTTCACTTTCCGAAGACGATGACGATGATGATGATTCGGAGTATGTGAGTGCTTTAAACTCTTGAGCATCAAAATAAAATCCGGCGGTACTGCCACGCTTCCGTTGTTCCTCGACATATTGACAATGAATGCAAACCGGTGGTTTAGCGCTTGACTTTCGTCGTTGAAAGCGCTTTGGTACGTCAAGAAATGATGCATTTGCGTCACTTGGTTCGATGCCAGCCGAATCGAAGCTTTTAGATCTTTGTTGAGGTTGCGCTGTTGGAACGGTAAGCAAGCCAGTTTGTGAGTCTGTTGATGATTGATGTAAGTATTGAGCTGTGCGTTGAGCTTCAAGTTTGATTTCATCGAACGATGCTGAACGGACCTGCTTGGGCACTTCAAGACTGCTTTGAGTCTTCATCTATGCACCAATTTGAAATGTCGTTGTAAATAAGCGCAAATCGATATTCATTGCGCCTATCTGAGGGCAATTAAGCGTTGTTAAGAGGTGTAGCACTTGAGGGCTGCTACCTCGCTACACAATGAAGTTTTTGCTTTTATCACAAATCTCCATTCTAACGTGAATCTATTTTATGTAATTTTATTTTGTTACGAGTCGAGAAAGGAAGAAGAGAGAATAGAAATAAAAAACTTTTTTTTCTACTTCTAAATTAGAAGTTCAAGGATGAGTGAAATTTTATGCTTCTATTTTTGCTTTGATAAGCATCGCTTACAATCATGTCAGAAAATATTCGAATTGTGAAAGATAAATAAAAGTTTCTATATATTTTACGACAGTAAGCAATCTCTTGCTACACGATGTTGACAAAAGGAATATTCAGAATTCCTTCCTTTAGTTATGTCATTATTTATATCACAAGATATTTCTTATGATGGGAAGAAAGTTTGTTTATAATTCATGAGTTGACATGCGAGAAGAAGTACGTCAGTAAAGACCCTTCTCAGAAGTCAAATAAATTTCATGCGCAGGTGAGTTTTCAATGAATCTAAAAAGTGTTGTTGGAACAACTTCAGGAAGAAGTTTTAGATGAAGAAACTCCTTTTTCTTCCTACAACTCCTACTCACATGTTACATGTCAGGGAATAAATTGTAATAAAAGAAGTGTTCTTGCTTTACATTTCATATTTCGTTCACGCTATTTCTAGAAGTAAACAGCACATAAAAGTGCGTAAAACGTTTGAAAATCGTAAAATGAATGATGAGTATTTATGACAAGGCGTCTGCTTGAAAATCAATCAAAACGAAAGGAAAATTTCTCTCACGAATGTGTGTGATGTTGAGTCATAAATGGATCGATAAAAGATTGATGGTTTATTCCCTTCCTTTGCTAAGGTTAATGATTCTTCATCGAGTTGAAAGAGAAAAGTTTTCAATCAACTTCTTTTCAGTTACTGAATTTTTGATACTACACAGAAGGTAAATAAAAAAAGAATAAAAAGAAGAAACTGGGATAATGCTTCGAAAAGTTAAAGCAACTTCCTTCTTCTCGCAAAAAAATTATTTATAGATTTAATTACAATTATTTCACGCTTCATTTATTCGAAATTTTACACATAATTTAAGTTAAACTTTGACTAAATCGATAATATATTCGCTTTTAAAATTAACGAACGAGGTGAGAAAAAGTTTTCATCGAGTTTCCGCTTTTTTGTGCTATCATCTCAATAAGATTGAAGAGGGTTAAGTTTTTATGCTTTGCCGCCACGTTCTTTGTCTTCTTCTTGTTTATATAACATAAGAAAGAATGTTGTTAATATCATAGCAAAAAGCCCATCGAGTTTCTATAGAACATCAGCATTAATTTCCTTTCTTTTTAACAACAGCGGAAGTTTTTCTTTCTTTCCTTTCTTCCGATATCGATGAGTCCAAACAAAGAGCTTCCTAAGCCGAGAACTCTAATTGAGGGCTTTACATAAACGAAAGGGAAGAAAAACGAAGTTTGAGGTCAACCCAAGTTATTTTTTTATTCTTTTTGAAAAGAAAATAAAAAAGGAATCCAATAATAAATTAATGACTCGAGAAAAGAGCTTTTTGTGTAATGCTTTTAACCGTTTAACTCTTTTGTTAAAAGTTAATAAGAGAAAAGTTTTAAACGGAAGCAGAGCTGAAAGAAATGAGGCCAGTTAATGTTCTGTCGGATGTAAAATGTACTTTTAAAATGTCGTAGATTAAATATTCGCTTTATGAAAAGATTTTCATCAATTTTATGCTAATGAGACACAATTCTCGTCGTTTTCATTTCATTATTTTCTCATTAATCATTAAATATTTGTTATTCTCATGTTAAGTAAACAAACAAATAAGTCAGTCACTTGATATTCATGACAAATTGATGTCAGTTTTAAATTGTAATTAAATATTAAATAAGACCGTTTTTCTCTATTTTAATGACAATTAGTCAAGCATCTCCCTTTACATTTTGAACCACTTAAATATTTGAACGTCTAGCATGGAAAGAAATGGAAAATTAATCTGCTTAGAAGTCATCTTTGGCGGGGAGCAAACAAAACAAAAGATTAGGAGAAAGAAGCATCTGATAAGAATTTCATTTTCCTTACTCAAATATCACATTAATCTTATGTTCTTTCAAAGGAAGAGCGAGGTTTAGGTTTCTTTGATGCCAAATATTTAATCTTCAGTTCTCAAATCGAGATGATTATTTTGGTATATCGATAGGATCAGCTTCCATTAACTCGATACAGATGGAAGGAGAGCAAGAATCAGATCGTGGCAACAAACACGTTCGCAGAAGTTTGAAAAATCTCTGAAGGGTCGAACGCTCGAGACCGAAAATCATGAATCAATCACCAAAAGGTTTATGAACCTCTCACAGTCTCGAATTTCTCGTTAACAGCTGACGACAAATCTGAAAGTTGACTAATGGTTCAATGAATAAGAAGATTGGATAAGAAGGTTCTAAGAAAGGTCTGCAATTTTAGATTCTAAAAGCTTAAGCACCACATGCGGCAAAGAAGAATAAGAAACAAATCAGATTTAAAATAAACCTGCTATTGATTGACTGCTGCTTCCCACTTCCGTACTTTATGGTTTCCTTCTAATTTATTCAACTTCGAAAGCTTTGGATGTTTGAATAATATTTGTTTTCTATCATCATTCTCACAACCTCACCAACAACCCTTCAAATCAAAATACTCAAATGTCTCCTTTCAACAGTGAAAACCGAAAATTTCACCAACAAGCACGTTTTACTTTCACATTTTTCATCGCCTTTTTTTACTTCATCATAAATGTTTCAAGTTGAAAAAGGCCCCGAGATGAAGCGAGCATGTCAATCAACAAATATTTCGTTTCTTTTTCCTATTATTTCCCATTTTTTTGATATAAAGCAGAAATTCATCTTTCTAATGCTTCTTCTTCTCTTTAAAAATTCATAACGATGCTCATATTTCATTTATAAAAATATATTTGTCTTCTGAGATTATGGCTCCAGCTTGACCAAGCATCTCTTTAAAGCTTTACTTATCTCCATGTGATGTCTTAAAAACGTGCAATGTTCAAACCACCTCATCATCCAACAGTTTTAAGTGCGGAAGCGGTCACTCGAAAAACTCACAAACAATTTCATTTATCATTTGAATAAAAAAGCGACTTTTGAGATAATTTTAGCACTCCATGTGGCAATGACATCTCCAAGATAATTAAAATGAATATAAAAAACAGCAAGGGATGAAACATTCTACACTTTTTCAAGGCTTTTTAAAAGCAAGACGTTTTTTTAACAGAAAACGTGAAGAAAACTTTTTCTACATAGATAAATAAATTTTCCTTTTTTTAGCATTTAATGCGACATATTTTACCCTTTTTTCCTTTAACAACAAACACAGAAGCATCATTTTCTAATGCAAGAGGGAAAACTTTGTCATTTAAATATGCTTGGTTAGTATCGTAGAAGCTTTTTTGCTTGACTCGGATAATGGTCCGCAACAACACGTTTGATGAATTTTAATTCAAACCATAACTCGAAATAGATGAAATTTATTCAAGGAATTGAATTAATTTTGGTTGAATCTTTAAAGCAGATTAACTAGAAAAGCTTCTTACGCCTGTGTTCATGTTGAATTCTCTCAACACTTTGTTGGCTTAATGCTTTCAAAAACTTAGCGCCCTAACCATCTGTCGTGGAAGTTTAGAAATGGAAAATGATTTTGGAGAGTCACTGAAAAGGATTTCAAGCTAAGAGACAAAAGATTTCTTATTCAGTTAATCTTAATGTTTTATACCTTAACTAACCTTCATTTAAATATGAATTTGAGATCTAATACGTAAATAGAATTCGAAACCTTTCATAGCTTCAAAGATGTCTTAACTCAAGAATTAGAGGATAAAAAAACCTTTTAATGGTTATAAACTTTTCTTATTCGATTTTAATGGTTTAAGACTCAAAATGAATGGTTTGAGGCAAAAAGGTCGTAAAAGTAATTTGAAACAGCTCGAAATATTTATCTTATTTGATTCCCTTATCTGCTTTCCATCCATCTTTATTCAAGATAGCTCGATGTCTTTTGATAATCAATAAATTATTTAAACCCACTCATTAATAATGTAACAAGTTGTTTCTTCTTGCAGTTAAATAAACATAAATTCTCATGCTCAATGACAGACGTTTCTTTGGTTGAAAAATTCTCAATTTTCATGCTACGATGAAGAAAACGAACAAATAACAGAATTCGAGTTGTTTGTCGACTGAAGGGAGTATTTTGCTGTGTTTTTTGTGAAATTTCGCTACCATTTGTTATCCGCCAATATTTACGAGCGGGACTTAGAACGTGAAAAGACTGAGAAAAATGCTGAAAATGATGGGAAAGTTACAACCCGAACATTTCTCATAAATATAGCATAATGGAACGTTACATCACGATACAACAAATATATTTCACGGCCTGAAACCAAAGTAACGACTGAACGAGTTACAAAAAATATTTTGTTTGCTTGACGGGAGGGAAAAGTTTCCGCGGTGAAAATTTTCCGCTTTTTTTCCTTCCTGCTGATTTAGATTATTTTTCCCTTTTTTTCCTTCAAATAATATTCATCTCATTTCTTGCAGTCGCACGTTAAAACATGTTTCGTATTCACTCATGATGTTCTTCGTTGATTGAATAACAATCTCACTTTTTTGTTCTCTTCCTCAATCACGAACACATGCGATGAATTTAATTTTCTTTGAAATAAAAGAGAAAAAAAATTGAAAAGCGTTCTGTTTGATGGGCGGAATTGTTGATGGTTGGAAGAAGTGAAGATGAGACTTTCTTGCGAGACCAGTTTTTACACGAACTAATTTAGGATGTTATGGAAATAAAAGAACATCGAGAATTCAGAACTTCCTTACAAGCTGCGAGCGCGTTACAAAAAAAGGTTTTTTGATTGTTGTTGCTGATGGGAAACCGGAAAATGTAGAATGTTTTTGGTCATGTTTCCATACTTTATTATTCCCAAAGGCCTTTTTTATTTAAGATCCTCAACAATCACTTTAAAAGTTCATTTGTAGAAATATAAAGAATGATTGCTTCAATGCATTGCAATGTGAGCTTGGGGAAAAGCTTTTCATCATTTTCTTAAAGAGAAATGCTCGTCAAAATTCAATTGAAATCGTTAAATTTTATCTTTCTTTCTTCTTTATAGTCACAATAGATTCATAAAACAAAAAGAATACATTAATATTTAATAAAAGTATAATAACCGATAATCAAGTTATTGTCCATTCGACGGCAGTAAAATAAAAAGGTAAGTAATGAAGAGAAGTAATCGATCTGACTTTTGCTCATAAATTGTTATGGAAACTACATTAGCATTAAACATGAAAAGGTTTGTTGTTCATCGATGTTGTTATTCATTGAATTGTCGGTGATTATCGATTAAAATGTTGGTTCCATTCGCCTATGCTTTTTAACTTGCTGACACACGTCATTTAATGAAATTAAGAGAAAAAATCATTATTTTAATTCTGCTATGAACATGGATTGGGTCGTTGGGTGGATTGAGTTTGTGGACGCCGTCATAAAGCATATTCCTTGAATTATTTATGTTGTAAAAACAGTCATGTGGAAATGAAAGGAAATTTCTTTTTAGAGAATCTATGTGTGTGTTTGCCTGACGTTGGCGTGCTTACAGAGATTTTTTTTATATAATTTAAAAACTTTAAGCATTGCATGCAATTCGTGTTCAGTTTTCGCTTCAAACGTTTTATGAATATGCAAATTAAAATTTTAACTCTCTCACTTTCCGCTTTTCACTTGTGATTTTCCTTTACGGTGGAAAATTACAGTCTTGAAGTTTCTTTCGCATGAATTATCAGGAAGTTTCCTTGAAACTTTATCTCGGAAAACTCAGGAAAACTATTAAAAGTAGCTAAGAGAAAAATAAATAACACGAAACTGTAGGAAATATTCAATCTACATCAGTTTGAATTTCCAGCTTGTTGATTTTATGAAAACTTTACTTTAATTTTAAACTAGAAGTCGAGTTTTCTTCCTTTAAGATACTTTGGAAAGTTCATCATCTTTCATGTAAATTTCTTTAAAACGAAATTGATACTTCAACTATCTTTGCCTTTCTAGCAGAATATTTATTTATTTTCACTTTCTTTACGGTTGTAAATGTTTCTTTCTATTATTTATTCAATTTCTAAAGGTTGAACTTGAATCTGAATCAGAGCATTCATTAAATTTTCATTTGATTCATTCTTCCATCCTTCATGGTAAAGCTTTGTCTCCTTCTGCCAAATTGTAAGTGTGCTCATAAGGAAAGCGCGCGGAGTCGTTAAACGTTGACACAAAATTTCCATTATGACAATTTGTTTTTCCCTCAATTTTCATTATTGTTGGATTGGAAATTTCGATGAAAATTTTTCTTCTTCCTTCTTTGACGTTTGGTTTTAGTAGAAATATTATTTTTGTATTTTTTAATGCATAAATTGAAACCAGATCTAAATATTTTCGTAATATGATCTCAACGGAATATTTTCTATTGTTGTTTTATTTTTTTGGGCTGGTAATCCAAAAATAGCATAAAATTTCACTCATTATTCGACGAATATAATATTTTGAATCTAACCTGATACTAAAATCGCACAACAATTGGATAAAAATCTACTACACAGGTAAATTATAATCACATAAAAATAATATTTTTCTCAAAATTTTCTTTTTTCCTTCTTTTAATTTTTTTTTATTTTTTTCGGTTCCTTTAAGAACAATAAATGAATAAAAGTCTCTTCTTATGACTTTATTTTCACTTTAAAACCGGAGTCACTCTCGACCATTTCACTTCCGATTACGCTCAATGTTCCCGTTCGACTGATTTCCATTCGCATTTTTCCCTCCGACATAACATCTCAATTTTTATTTTCTTTTCTTCCGCCGTCGAATGTTGAGCAACGCTTTACAATATTCATTCGTGACAACAGAAAGCATATTGAATGTTTCGAGACGTCTACAATCTTTCGTTAAGCTTTAAAGCTCATGCGCTGATTCAACATTGAATAATTTGAGAACTGAGAGTGAGATTGTGGCGAGAAAATTTCCACGTTTTTCTTTATTATTATTTTTTTTTTTATTTCCGTCTTTGCTAGACAGATTTTTCTTTTCTTTACGATAGCCTCGACTTATTATCGGCAACATTGAAAATTATTTTATTTGTTTACTTTACTTTCAATCGGTTCGAGATTAAAAGTATTTCTAACAATTTGTAGTTGTGGTTAACACAATTGTTGAATGAGACGAGGATTTGTAGAAACGTACGAAGTACATTGGCATAGAAAACTTTAATTCAAATCTCAGTCACGTTCTTCGATCATAGCATCGAATTTGGTGCTCAATTGAAATTGATTTTCTTTTATTCCTTCCTGAAACTTTCTTGGCTTTTGCTTTTGCTTTTCCCATTATCATTGTAAGAGAAATAATATTAAATTATGTTTAAATACATTATTATCGTATGTCGATGTGCTTTTAACGTTGAAATAATATTTTCAATTTTACGATTATATCATTTGCCGTTACCTTCGATGAGAACACATTACGATGTCGGAGACATGGTCAATCACGGTCTGTTACCAGTTTTCAATGATTTTTACTTACTCGGACCTAAAAATAAAATAAAAAAGAGAAAGAATAAAAGTTAAAAAGAGTGAATAAACGGGTAGACATTTTTTTTTATTATTTCACATGAACAAAAGCTTTTTATCATCCCAACTTTTCATACGAGCTCTCTCTATGGGTTCATGCTTATGACTGCAACAAGCATTTATGTAGAAAACTCTCCAGACATTCGTCCTTTCCTTCAATAGCAATTTTCCTTTCTTTATCACTGAATGATTAAAACAAAATCTTTTGTTGACAGGAAAATTAAATTCTTAGAAGGATTCGAATGAAAAGGAAAAAAGAAAGTTTTCCATTCAATGATTTAATTTAGGAAAGTTTATTCAATAATTTCACTTGAAGAGGTATGAATTGAATTATGGCAATGATAAAGAGCAAAAATAATCAATAATTTAATGATAAAAGCAATGGAAGGCGGAAAAATATAAAGAAAACATTTCAGAAGACTTTGACGACATTTTACAAGAGAAAGAAAAAAAAATCATTCACAAAATTTCACTCACTTTGTGTTTTCATGAAATTTCTTAATGCTATTGAATTGTGACGGTGACTTCTCATCATCGTTTGAAATAATATCGAAATGAACTCGACATCCAAGTCGAGTCAATTCCAGAAGTCTAAACAAGAAACAGATAAAAAGAATCGAAATTTAATATCTCGAGGAAAGTCTTCTTCCTTCTTTTGTCTTCATTTGTTTTGTTTTTGCAGTCTAATGATTTTGAAAAGGAGAAATTGACATACAAGATATTTGTGTGTTTAAGAATTGAATAAAAAAAGAACAATAGATGGATAAGGTGAGTTTACTTTCCAGATCATTGTAATGTTTCATGAGCTCATGTGTAATCAATCTTTTATCTCAAGGCTAACATCCATTAACGTTGTTTTACTTTCATGAAATTCAGAAGCATGAAGTTAAATAATGAAAGCTTTAAATGATTCTTATCTCTAATAGTTGGAAAGTCAACCAACGATAATTTTCAACCACAAATCAATCGTCGAGATGTGGGCAAAATTTTGGGAAAAGGAGCAGGTTGTTTTCCAAACAATAATCTCTGAATTGGGGTTTCGTCACAATGTTTACCGGACACAAAGAACTTTTATGGACCGCAATTTATCGTCTTTATGTTCACCCTCAGATCGAATAGCATACAAAAGTCAGATGTTTGTGTTCAATCATCGTCATCATTTGAAGTCGTTTCTCATGTCATTTTCTGTTCTTTTTTTTAGCGAACAACTTCTGTTAAGTTTATACAAGCATTAACGTTCATTTGCCATTTTCATGGCTTTCCATTCTTTTTTTTACATCACATATGTCGTACATCGACTAAAGAAAAGGGAAAGCTTTCAAAAAGAAGCCATTTTTAGATGTGAAAAATAAAATTCTAACATGAGTTTGTGTCTACATTATTGTCACATTAAAAAGACAAACACGTGGAATAATTTATTTACTAACGACGTCAACTTTCTGTAAAATTCATTCTTCAAACAAAGTTTTTATTTTTCTTTTTTCCAACATGAGTCGACGGCTATTTATGTCATAATGGTGTCAAGCATTGACATTTAAAATGTTGAACTTTACTTTCAAAAGGGTAGAATTGAAAAGTTATTTTTGTCACATTTGAAAACAGATTTAAGCAGATGAATTATTACAAAGTATCTTAACTTCAACAAAGTTGAAAAAAAAGCTCAACGACCGTACAGAATAATGTTCGTGCTGCAATTTATGTTTATCCACTTCAATGTAAAAAGGCGAGCTTCTGTTTCTAGTGGGGAAACATTGAACTTGAAAAGGGAAACAGAAAATTTCATGGAGCATGCTGTCGAGAGTAACAATTAAAAACTTCATACAACATAAGCTTGGTAATCGAGTGTAAGGTTAACATTCTTTGCCAATAAATTGTCTGAACACTCCCCGAAGACACGGAAAAGGAAAACCCAAAACATTCTAGCAGAAAAAAATGAATGAAAATTTATTCGTTCGGATTATTTGGAAGCAACAAGAGGAAATTTTGTTCAGCTTCAAGTGAAATCAAAATAAATAAAAAAAAGCAACAGAAGAAGAGAAATAAGTTTGTCATCAGTGAACTGAAACGAATTGAATTCATTTCATTGTTTCCCTTTCCTGAATCATGTCGGAAAATTTACAGTGCTTGGCTAGATATTTATGCTCAAAGATTATGAATGGAATTTCCTTGGACGAGAAACCTTTTATGTTTAACTTCAAAGTTTGAATGAAAGCCACTAATTTAATTAACTCTTCGAATGGTTTGCTTTTATTTCTTCCTCTTTTCTTGAAGTGCTGATCAATTTGACCGTAATTTATATTGCTTCGACTTAAATTCATTTTTCTTTCTCTCCTTTCTTTGAATTAATCAAATTAGACAAGCAAGCACAAACTTTTTTTTTCTCTATTTTTCTATTCATCGAAATTGCACAGAAATTCAATTTATCAAGTAAATTGAGCGTGAAAATTCTTTCTGGTAAAAGAGCTTTTCATCGATAAATGAGATGATGGGAGTTATTGTCCGCTTACCCTCCTTCGTCATCATCACTTATGTCTGATTCGGGTAAGTCAGTGTTAGGCACGTCTAGTGTATCCATGATCAATAAAATTCTTTTGACATCAAAATTATTAAATTAACTTTTCAACTCAACAAACATCAACCACGAGACAATAAAACAAATAATCAAATTTTCTCCTTTTCTGATTCCCAAATGAACTTTTCACATCGAGTGCAATAATACAAATGTTCACAACTGACAATCGACTTCAAGTGACTTTATTTCTTATTTCGTTTAAAGTGTTCACTTCAAAGGCTTCCCATAGGACGTAAATTTGATTAGTTTTTATTGTTGTGTTGCCCGATAAAATTTTTAGGTTTAAGTCACGTGAATTTCATGAGTTCGAGACAAAAACCCTTGACCTCGATGAATTCTGATTTGTGATTTAACATTTTTCTTGCTACCAACAATTCTTCTGTCAAATTGGAACCTTTAAAGGTAATTTTCTTCTTTAATGTTCAAACAGAAGCGGGGTGTAAGTGTAGCAAAGCTTTACGTAACATTCAGTGAATACGTTTATCATCTTTATTTAATTTTTATGATATTTTTTTGGAGTTGCTATCTCATGTAAGGATTCAAAATGTGAAAGAAAAATTGACTTGAAACGTTTTTCACAGTTAGAAGACTGACAACAAAAGAAATGTGTCTTTCTTTAAGAAGTAAGAACATAGCAACCGAAATCAGGCGACGAATTATAACCCAAGTAGAAAACTTGAACGGAAACTCATGTGGGTAAAAGCTTTTGAATTTTTTAAGCCTGCTAAAGTGTCTTTGCACGCCACAAATTTATGTAGCAAAGGGAATAAATTCAACTTCGATTCTAACTCGTTTGCTTCTTCTTATCTTTATTTGCTTCATGCTAAAGAAATTCAATTCCACATCAGATCTTTTTAAAATTGTTTTTCTTAAACGTTTCTTAACGACATTTAGAGGGTTTTTTTTTCTTAAGAAAGATTTATTGCTTTGTGAGACGAAAATCTTTTTCTTTGAAGATCCTTTATTCTGAGACTAAAGTTTGTTGCTAATCAAAGCAAAAGAGAAAAGATAGAATTTTCTGAATTGTCTTTTCGGTTCCATCTAAGTGCACAGAAATAATAAATGTTCGGTTCGTTGCAAACATCTTTAAGTTATTATTACATTTCCATTGAAAATATCTGGGAAAATGTCATTACCTGACATTGAAACATTTTGAAATGTTTCTTGTATTTTTTCAACCAAAATGATGAATATGAAAAAGCGCACTTATTGTGATAAATGTTCTGCTATCACTGCTTGTTGACGCAGCATTCAAGTCACGTCCCGCAATCATTTGTTTCCATTGAAATATCTCGGACAACAAAATTTCAAACTTCCCTTTAATGGTCGTGATAACAAATGATGGAACGAGAGTGCGGAAAATGAACGTAGAAAAGGAATCTTCATTCTCGCTAGCGGATAACATTTTTAATTAAATTAATTAGTATAATTTATTATCTTTGTTTTATACAAGGAATTATTATGGTAATATTGGATTGGATCGCACTTTTTCCAGCTTTTTATTTTCATCGCACTTCATTAAAACAATTTTTTTTTTTGTGGAAGAATAATTGCCAATTTAAAACTTAAATCTTCGAGCTTTTGACTCACATAAGGAAATACTTGAACATCGAAGGGAATGCTTTTTGTTTCCAACAACATTCCACATATGATCACTGCTTCTAACGTGTTTGTTACCTCATCATGTTTTTCGTGAAAATTGTTAATGAACTTTTTCACTATAAAAATAATAAACAACGAAATAATGAAGAAAAAAAACAAATTTGATGTCATTAGCGAATAAAGAAACTTAGAACTCGCGACTCATTAGTCCGACACTTCACTGTTCTCACGAAAAACAAAAGAAGGAAAGAAATGTAATTAAATACTTAATGGTTCTTTGAAATACTTTGGAGCGTGAATGTATAACAGATTTTCATCTCATCATATCGCTTCATCATCGAATAAACGTGCGAAACTGAGCGCGGATTTTCCTCGCCTCGCGGCGAAGTGAAATGAAAAGGAAAACAATTTACAACGAGAAGAGATGAAAAAGTCTCACAGCGATTGAAAATATCACTCGAAGTCCCCACGAAACAAAAAAAAAGCTATCTCAAATTGTTTTGTGTTATTTTTAGATCGCGCAACTTCAATTTTAGATCTTTTTTTGCTAGCTTTTTCTCATGTGTAGATCACGTCTGTCGCTCGAGAGATTTCACGATTTAAATTCATAGAAGATTTTTTTATTCTCCATTGACGCCTATGAAAACAGAACTACAAACAAAAAAATATTGCAGCCAGAAATTTTTAGATGCACATAAAGATTATTACGTGAACTTTGTGGGGGTGGATATTTTCCGTTCTTATTTTCATCAGGTGGGAAAAAATTTAATTAAAATTTTCCCGCTTACGTGAATATTTATTTATTGAACTGGAATTTCAATTGAGAAAAACATCTCACGTTTTATTGTTTTTCGTGGGGAAAAGTTCGAATGGAAATTGTGTGAATGGAATGATGCTGGTTTTAAGTTGATTGCGATTGTGATTAAAGTTCATTTATCAATATTATAAATAATAAAATAGAAATATGTGCAAAATAAAATTGATTAGCAGTAAATAACTTAATAATTATTTACAATGCAGAAAACTCACTTTTCGAGATATTCTGACTGCTCTGACAATGCTGATAATGACAGGTCACTTTCTTCAGTTTCCGACTTGTCATCGTCACCGGCAATAACACTCATTCCTGCTTGAACAAAAGCATTCCATTTGGTTTTAATTAGAGTTTCTATATATATCATGCGAAGAATTTATTTCTCTTTGTTTAGGTCCTAGTATGTATGTGAGTGAAAGATCGCTTTTCCTTTTCTTTTTTAATTAGTAATGTCTAAACCTACTACAAAGGAAATGGAAAACTTTTCCTTTTGTTTTTTTTTGATCAACTCGCGAAATAAAATCACACAACTTAATCGCATGAAAGTTCTGTTCAAATGTTACCTTCTAATTTTTCAATTTTCATATTTTGTTTTAAGTGCATGATGGTGAACGGGGGGAAGTCGATTGACATTTACATAATTTTTAATATCTATCCAAAAAAATGGAAAAAATCCAACAACATAATGTATAAAAATTATGGAAATGGAAATTAATATAATAAAAATTGAAAGTCTCGGGAATTGACCAGCGAGGGAATTACGTAAATTGTAGTCGAGTTACAGTTTTTTATTTCATCCTTTCATCAAAAAACATGAATCAGAGCAAGCTAGTGACGTAAAGCTTTGGGTTTCCTTCAGATTATCTTTTTATTCTTCCTTCATTCTGTTCAGGGACCTGGCATCATAAAACGAACTTCATTTGCAGATTGAATACGCACTCAAGAGCAACACCAACATGAACCGCCATAAAACTACTTTAACCCCTTCATCAAAATGTATTAGAATGTGGAATCATCATCATTCATAAAAGCAATGCGAGTGAAATTGGAGCAGAAACCGCAACGTCGTTTATTAAAGTGAATCAGAAAGAAGAAAAAATTCAATAAATATTCAGTACATGAAGAGATCAGAAAATAGTTTTTGAAGAGATATACAACGTCGGCATTAAATTAGGTTTCCCATAAATCTGACGACGCTCATTAAGTAAAGAGAAATATTATAGCAAGATTATCACCACAAATTGTCGGAATAAAGTGCGGTCGTCATTATAAAGCAAAGTAGTCATGAATGTTTTAGAAGACGATGAAACATTTTATTACTATAATTATTTGTGGGAACAGTCAAATAGGCAGATAGGAAGGTATTGCACGTAAAGCAGCAATAAGTCTTTAAGTCAGTAAAAGATTTTATATTTTTCTGAAAAGAAAAAAACTCTGAAAATGTTTCTCATTCAATTAATATCATCATTTTACTGCTGAAAGATTTCAATTTCTATTTTACCGTAAATGTAAGGAATTCATTTGCATTTACATCCCAACAAACATCTCCATAAATTTCCTTTTTTTGTGCTTTTCAAATGGAAGGAAATCTCAGCAAATAAGTTAGCTTCATTCATTCGAATTGCAAATTTGCTACATTATTGTGAAGGTGTTGTTGCGAGTGGAAAATTGGATATTTGCATAGGTAGAACACAACGAACGACATGAGTGTGTGCCTTTATCAACTTCCACATTACATACATTTTTTATGCACGAAACTTCCCTTTTTTTGGTCTTTTACTTAAGTTTCAGTTTTCCTCGCCTCGAGATATGAAAATGTAGTCTTGCACATAAAGCCAATTTTGATAAATATAAAAATATGTTATTTTATGAATGAGGGATGTTTAAACCAATTAAAAGAAACAACTCCTACTAATTTACCCTTTCCACA